ATCCGATATCCAACACCACATTAGAACACAACAATTCCAGGAATTATTAACACAAATGGACACTATACAAAGACAATCAATTGACCAAAACTTACGCAAACTTGCCGAAACCGCAGGATTTGCAGATATCTATACACAAGATTATAGCGGATATTTTAAAGACATTAAAAAGACTATATATATCTAAACGGTGAAAAATACAGACCACAAGATATTTCATTTATAAATATTTTTAGCTTTGTTACACTAAAAAATGAAATTCTCGATTTTCTAGGATGGCCCTATTACATCTTAGAAAAATTAACTATCCTATACGCAATGCTTAACTTTATAGGATTTCTTTTTTCACTTTAAAAAGGAATCTATAACACATGCGCTATACACACACAAGTAAATAGACAAGCAAGTGTAGCACGCATACTATTTGCAGGATTTTTTGGAATTTTTTCATCATCAATTAACAAAATTCTTCTAGACGCACAAATCAAAGAATATAATACAAAAATAGCGACAAAACAGAACACATACAACAAAGAACATAACAACATAGAAGTAACGCCTACAGCACCACAGTTGCCACCCCTACCACATAACCATCCATTATCCTTAGTCCCACGTAATTTCCGAAACCTAGCAATAACACAACCCAAATTTTAGACTAAACATATCGCAAAGTTCCATACAACATATAATGACACATCATTCACAAGATGATAATACATATGAACAAATTATAGAACAACCCCATACCACCGCTTTTCAGTCTCAAAATAATAATTTTTTTAGCCCACGATGAGCCGACAACTTGGATCCCTACACCGCTCAAATTCCCATCCAACCAACCTCAACACTCCAATCAGAATACTCCCACTTTTTGCTTTCCCGCCACCCGATTTTCCAACTATTAATATAACATCAAGCATGAATTCGAATACTAATTCAGATATTTCAGTTTTATACTCCATTTCACAACTTAATAACCCTAATATAGAAACCCCTGACGAATTTGCAGACTCCGAACCATCTCCATCCAATAATTTTCAAACCAACTCCTCAGTTTTTTCAAAGCCCCCTTTTCAACCGATCCCACTCAATAATCCACTCCCGTCCGTTTCTTCTTCCTCTTATGCTTCACAAGTAACCCCAACCTATTCTCCATTTCTTTCCGACCGATCATCTAATTCTCCCGATACTCCCCAAATCTCCCAAGAACTCGATAATTTTATCACCCTACAACAACAGCTAATACACCCTAACACGCTCACTATAAATCAAATTTCATCCACAATAGAATCCTCAAACCCACCTACCCCTACACCCTCCTCAGCCTATACTGCATCGTTAGCACAATCATCCACATCCACCGAATCATCAAATAGCAATCACCGAGCTTATCGCACTTTCAAAAGAAAATTCCCAAACCATCCATTCCCGACCAAACCAGGAACAGCCTGCGAGTATATTAATCATCCACACCACACCAACACGAAAGATTTTCTAGCAATCACCTTACCTTCATTCCCACAATATACTTTAAACACACCTAACGACACACGTAGTTTTGTAGATGAACATGTTTTAATGCCTACACTTCATCGGACAACATATTACCATTTTACTAATCCCCTTTGCCTGCCATTATCTAATACTCATAACGATATAGAAAAGAATAAAGATATGCTGTATCGACTCACCACACCACTAACACATAGGCAATTTACTTATATAGGATATAAAAAATCACTAAAAACATTCACTGCACCCCGAGCTAACGAATTTACAATAGAATATTACGACCATAATATCATCCGAACTAATCAAGACCAATTTTTAGATAACGACCGCTTCGCTAACCCACAACTAACAGAAAAATTCTTCATCAAAACATCATATATATTCACACTCAATATTTTTGATAGAAAATATGATCACATCATTTCTGAAGCACTAATTGATATGCAAGCTCACGAAAAATTTAAAGAAAAATTTCAATTATTTTCACTAACCTTTCACTTCCTTGCACCACATGAACGCGATTTGCACTGTTCACACGACATTATGTTACGCACTAAACAAACTCACACATATACATACTATCGCTTCATACAAAATCATTTTGATCTACATACTCCATCAAGACAACCACACCATCGTTTTCAGTTTCTTAACTCGAAGTACACTTCACCATTTTTTCTAAATTTCACCTATTGCATCAAAGATACTAACCTCCACGGTATCCTCCGCAATTATGACCCAATAACACAAATGTATATATTTTGTCCCATCACGAAGACCTTTAATGCCGAAGAATCCAGAGCCTTCCTTATCCCACATGAATTTATCCAACCTATAGAAATCCCTATATTAGAATTTATTCACAATACTAAATACAATCACAAAATATATAATCTCATTCAAAACACACCTTATAAGTTTGCAGTAGGCACCGAAGAACTAAAAACTATTAAAGCACTTCAATTGCTTTGGCCACTGCTCCAAACTAAAAACATCATTCGCATACTAGCAAAATTACTAACAAATTCAGACATGATACACGACATCTTCCCCCACGGTTTTTTCCCAGACGATTAACAGGTAAGTATAATTTACAAATATTCTTAACTAATAAATTTAAATTAATACTAACCATTCTTTACTCATGTTTCTTTTAGATTTTTAGTCTTCATACCACGATCATCTGCAAAAAACAGAAAAAAAAAATAAAAAATAAAAACTTGTTAAAATTATTCTAAACTTCATTAATATTTTCCACAAGATAATCTGATAAAATTTATATCAAATGTAGTAAATTAATTTATAAATTATTCCCCCATAAAGCAGTAAATTTAAATGTGATGAAAATTTATAACTTTAAATTTCCCCCAGAAAAACTAGCAGTAAAATTGAAATTCTATGTAATAAATTGATAAAATGAAAATGCAGTACTAACCTTTTGATATTTTCATTCATTCGCACAGGAATTCTATCCAAACTCGCACAGCTCGCCCACGAAGAATTGTTTAAATAATGAATTTCAGTTTCAAGTTTTCACACTCAACAACTCTAACACACGATAACAAGTTTCAAACTTTCCTTTAACCCGGTTGGAAAGGAATTATATACTAAACCAAACTAACCAACGCAGCTTACTAAACACCACAAATCATAAAATAACAGCATGACTAAGAAAAGAAAACCAACGGTACCCAAACCGGATTAACCCAGTTTAAAACTGGATAATTTATTCTTTTGAAGACTATTATAAAGTCTAAGAAAGAAATAATAAAACACAAAAAAGTCGAAAGACAAACCCATAACAAAAACAATTTGATTTTTGAAAAAAGGACACAACCAAAGGAACATAAAAAAGACCAACACAAACCCAACATAAAACGTTATCACATAACAGGACCTCTCAAAGAAACCGCACGAAATCATACTCCCACTCCTGGCCTAACCCACCAGAGAGGACGTCCTGAGCATGCTCTATAGCCGGCCTAACCCACCGCGCTACATCCACGCTTTGTGACCACACTTCTATTTTTAAAAAGAGGTACTCAAGGGTGAGTAACTCTTCAAAATAACCGAACTAAAACAAAATGCTTTTGTGAAAACAACTAACTAAATTCATAATTAAAAAACTGAACTAAAAAATTTTATAAAATGTAAATCATACCTTGCAGTATATAGATCAGCACACAACAACAAAGACGAACATCCAAAGACAAAATGACCCCACTACACTCGAGCAAGAATGGCTAACCACAACCGATATGCCGTCCACAATCACAACTCAAAGGATTTAGAGTACGACTTGACTTCGCAGAAAAGGACTTCATTGAACTAGACCAATGACCACCTCGATGTTCAAGTATACGTACAGATCCGAGTTACAAGGCATCCCCTCCACGCACAATCCCCACGCCATTCCCAGACGAGGTCGAACACAAAAGAAGTTCTCTACATAAAACAGAAAAACCCGTCATAGCAAACCATTTTGAAATCAGATTGATTTCGTTGGGAAACACATTCGTTGTCACAAGAAGACACAACGATTGATGCCCCTAACTCCAGCGTCCTGGAACTTCTCTAACAATAGGAACCGGACAAGAATACGATGTTCGTCAAATACCAACGTTCATCATCCATCCTTTGAATTGCAGAAAGATAATTCTAAAAAACTCTGTAAAACCCGGATGGGTGGAACCTGATCTAAACTATAATTTATGATTGGATAAATTAGATATTTTACCACTGTAAAGTATTTAATATTAACCAATCATGATCCATCTAACTAACAACCCACTTATTTGTAAGTGCTGAAATTACTTGTAGTTTCAGCACCAGAGAGATTTGAATTTAACTTAGAAATTAGTTGTCTCTCCAAGAGAACTTCAGCAGCCGCAACAAAACCAGTATACCCTAGATCTATTGAGCCTAGCAGAGACTAGTTAAACACCCTGAGACTAGAAAGTATAAGAGTAAGATTAGGATCGGTATTAGACTAAGAAGTTGCACGAATCTATCCGGCCGAAAATAAGATAGCGTGACGAGCAGACGGTGTACCTTATCCGAAATTACTCTATGAGTTAACCACATCGGACCTAACTCAATATTCGGATTTGACATTTTATGTTCGTTTAAAGTAATTGTTTTGATAGGTATTGTCATTTTATGTTCTTTTTGTATTTGTGAATTTTGACTCTTCAGAAAAAATTTTATTGACCCTTTCCTTTTCATAGCTTTTTGTTCTAAACTGCCAGATCTGTAAAAAAACAACTTCGTCTAATTTCGTTTTTGTAGCATCCGTCTTATTTGCTTATCGTCAAATTTCCTAGGCCCTGTAATAAAGTGATGGATGATTGATTGACTTTATAATTGTTCTGTGTCTGCTAAAAAACCTGTCAGCTAAAAAACCGGTCTGCTAAAATCCCTAGCACCGCGCCCAACGTCGTGCCTTACGACAAAACAGTTTGAACTCGTAATGCCTATTGAAATACCTGCGAGCTGTGGCAGAAGTGTCAATTGCCGTCTAAAGATCGCCCATTCAACGTGACTGATCAATTGAGAGGAATCACATGCCGTTTGTAAATAACATCTAAAATATTTTACTTGGTATTTGTTTTGTTACGGCAATATTGAAAAAATGCGCAAAAATACGACCAAAAAATGTTAAGAGAATGTTATGTCGAAAAAACTTGGATCCAAAAAATTGGAATTTTAGTGGAAAGTTTTGATAGATCACAAAATCTCCAAACAACAAATGCCTGCGAATCATGGCATGCTTCCTGGAACACAAAAATGGAAGAAACCACCTATCTTTATGAGTAATTGTGGAAGAAATGAAAAAACAGAAAATCACAAAAAATAAGGCTCAAAAATTTCAACGCCACCTCCGCAGAAAAAAGTGGCGTTTACTCACCGCCAAAATCCAGCGATTGAAAAACAATAGTGAGGAGAATATTATCAGTTTGGACATTTATTGGAACAATATAGGCATTATTTGCCGAAATTTGTTTAAATGAACGCAAATTTTACATGTCATTTATGCATGATTTATTCATTTCAAAACTCCCTTATGTAATATTCGGATTCAGCATTTTATGTTCATTTACATTAATTTTTTTGATAGGTTTTGTCATATTTTGTTCTTTTTGTATCTGCGAAACTTGATTGTGTAGAAAAAATATTGATGACACTGTCCTTTTTGTAGCAGTGACGTCTAAAATGCCAGATTCGCAAGAAAAAATTTCCGTCTAATTTCTTTTTTATAACATCCGTCTACTTTGCTTATTGTCTAATTTCCCAAACAAATTGTCAACAATTTGCACACAGAACTCAAGATTTTCAAATATCCTCAACTTTCGGTACTGTTGAACGGGGACTAGGAAATTATACGAAACGCAAATTAGACAAAACCAAAAAATTGAACTTAGACGTCGATGAAAAAATAAAAAAATATATGGCAAATTATACGTAATTGTATTTTTAATGTGTGTGAAATTAGTTTACTGACCAAATGTAACTTTCCCTGACTACACTTAACTTTCGTTTGAAATTTCTAAATGCAAATCAGTTTTTCACAATGTTGCAATTGTATAATTTAAGCATGTCAAAAATTTTTTTTTTATAAAATTTGAATTAACGTTTTATAACACATTTGTAAAAAATATATATTTTGATCTGCAAAGGGATTATAAACTCTTTTTGTCTTAGTGAAAGTTTGTTTCAAGCAATAAACTTTGTTAGTCCTTTGCTTTTCGCCCAAAATGCTAGTTTTGCAAAAAAAATTAATGGCTTAATTCCGTTTTATTGGAGACATCTAATTTGCTTGACATCTAATTTCCTAGCCCCCCTGTTGCACACATTTTCAGTTTCAGCACTGTTGTACTTCGGCACTGTTGAAAGCCCCCGTTTTTCTGAACAAACAGTTAACTCTGCAAATTTTCTTCTCGGTTTTGCAATCAGAACAAGATTTTCAAATATTCTCAACTTTCGGCACAGTTTTTGCCGAGTTAACAACGGTGTCAGAGATCACAAAGTTGTACAAACAAGGCAAAAAACATTTTAAAAAATCTGAAATTATATGAATTTCAGAGTTGATAAGTTTCTAGCAAACGAAAAAAAAATTTGAATAAATATGCTCATTTTAGCACACTATTTTGACGATGTTTTGATTCAGCTGGTAATGAGCTTTTGGTGTTGCTTATAAATAGTGATGACTTTTTTTCAATTTGTTTATTGTAAGACAACTTTTGACAAAAAAGATTGTCGTGAAGATGTTTTAAAGACAGACAGCGGATACATTTTGCAAGTAACCTTGTTCCTCCGCTTGTAGGAGTGTATGAGAAAAGGTTGCATTCCACATTTGACTGGTCACACCCAGCTGGAATCTCGTTGGCTTCGCATTTTGCAGCACACTCGTCTGCTGTGAGATGCAACAAGTACTGGTTACAATTCCCATTAGCAAATTCATGTCTGCAGTAATACTTAGGGAGCACCAATTCATACCCTAAAAATCAATTTACACGTCCATTCAATAAACAAATGGCATGGAAAAAATGGTATTTTTGCCGTTTTCTTCACGCATATTTCCCCAAGTATGACCCCATGTGCGTTCTGAATTGACTTTTGATGCCCATTTTTGAAACTTTCCAAAATGATTAAAGGCTCGCAGTTTCGAAGTAAAATCGATCCAGTTTTACAACAAAAAATATATATTTTCTTTTTTATTTAGGGTAACAGCAGAACGGAAGAGAATTTTAAGTTCTGTTCGTAAGGGGGCAAGGGGGTGGGGGTTAGCTTCGAAATTAGATTCACCAAGAACGTGAATGATGAAACACAACTCGAAGCAAAAAACGACCAACCGTCAATTACAGCATTTTTGCATTTGAATTAACTCTACCGAAATAAAGTGTGCCTACACAACTAATTTTCCACCTGAATAATAAAGAACTTCTTCATAAACACTTAGAGGCGAAGGGGCATCACCACAAACTTCTTCTTCGGACACAGATGCGACTATTGACATAGTGTATGTGTCATGCTGTACATTGAGGTTATCGACAAGTATAGTCCGATTGTCAGCTGTGAAATTTTGAGAGCGCTGAGTTGGTTCTATTATCAAACTGCCAGTTGCCAATTGACCGACCAATTCAAGAGCAACACTGAGAGCATCACCACTAGTTTTAGATACCGAAATGATTGTAAGGTTCGGACCTGGAATTACAAAATATATTTTACCGTATAAACCAGACTGCAAAGCCCTACAAATTCCTTATTGCCTTTTAACGTTTCTGAAACTGATTATTTCATTTTTTGAAAATCAAACTCTCGCATGCATTAAGGAGATTACTATGATAATTTTGCGTCTAATAACGCAAGATTTGCATCAATTAGCTTGCCTCAATAAGTTTGGAGTTATCCGGCAGTAGCCAAATTGGCAAATTTCAAATCATCGTACCTTTTAAAAATCACAGGTTAATTAATTTTTCAATTTCTAAATGAGAACATCAATATTTTTTGAGTACAAATATACAAATATGCTGTAGAAACAAGCTGTCAGTACAAAATATGATGTCACTTTCTTCGAAAGTCGAAGAAACAACACACCACAATACAGTGCTGATTTAAATTGACCGGACAAAACGCGTTAAACTTGAATTTTAAAACGCGTTTTTCTCAAATTGGGTTGAGTTTAGGTGAAAATTTATGAAGACAGAATTAATATGATGCAATTTGTTGTGTTTGCAAAAATTCAAGTTTAACGCGTTTTGTCCGGTTAATTTAAATCAGCACTGTAAGGTTTGTTAACAATCCCCTTTAAAAGAGAAGACTATACCTCCCAATAAGGGATTGATTAAACGGCTTATGCTAATGATTTGAGTTTATGCTAATATGATTATAGTGAGAATTCATCAACTTATTTCAATGTTATGTGGGTGAGAGAAAGTTAAGAGATCCCAAAATTTTGTTAACGTTCTTTGGCCGAGGCAAAACTTACGAGTACAAAAACGGAAAGTTTTGTTCAGATTAATTTCTGCATAGTGGCCATCAAAATGAGCACTTATGATATTCACAAGGCAAGTTGAGCCAGGCTGCAGATTGTAAAATTGAATCCAACCCCCAGGCTGATCAGAAGGTGGGTTGACATCGATATAAACGGATGAGCATCCAATAAGACACTTTGCTTTTATGTTTGAGATTGAGGCGTTGTTCTCTGAATCGTAAATGCGGAAGAAGGCATTTTCAGTTTCAATATCCTCTGAGTGAAGATTAATACTTCCCCATTTTTCTAGAAAAAACTCAGTGGAATTCTAAATGAAAAGTTGAATGCTTATTTCGAAACAGTCAAAGCAAACCTGCGTAGTTCTGGCTTCCAGAGATTATCGACGCTTAAACAGATGGGAAATTACCATCACATAGTCATTTGCCAATAAAAATTAGAATGCTTACTTGGATAGAAGTAGGTTACACTTCGACTTTTGGGTGTTTTTGAAATGTCGAAGAGCTCATTTTCGGCGTTAATTAGACATTCGCATTTTCCTGACCATTTGTCAAATCTGATTACGAGCCGACTTTCAGTATCCCCAACTATTTGACAAGCCGTAGTGCATAGAGCAGGAGTATTTTTCCAGGTCAGAAATTCAGGTTGAAGATTGAATGGGTTTAAGCTGATGTCAGCTGTAGTTCGATGAAATTTGACACCAAATACAGTTTGCACAAAATTGGATAAAAACAAAATAAAAATTTTCATTTTCTTGAGTACGTAATAGGCGATAAGCAACAGTTTCAATTCAATAGACTTTTGTGTTCAAAAGCGTTCAAAAAGCATTCAAAAACCAAAATGTGTTTTTCGAGCAGATGTTTTTTCCTTAAATTTAATTTTCCGATAATCACATTGTACAAAATCTACGAATGAAAAATTTTTGATTCAGCTGATGAATACTTAATGTTGCTAGAAACACAAACTAATCCAAACCAAATACTGAGTGAATCAAGAAAAGACAGTTTGATTTAAAATCACAGCAAACAAGAGGAGACAGATGTGGGCAGTAAACTTCTCTCTAAGTACAAAAGCGACTAAAACTGTGCCAAAAATAGTGAAGATTAAGTTTTTTTATTTCGTTTTCAAGCGGTCAAAATAACCAATGAAGTAACACAAAGAAGAAATGAAGAAACGTCAAAATAACCTGGTAAAATTGATTCAGCGTCTTGAAAAAGTTCCTCCAAATTGGCGGAAGAGAACAAGTAGCTCTGAACGCCCCGAGCAGTAAAATTGAGAAAAACTGCACAAAAATGAAAAATAGCTCTTTTGAAGTGATGTTTGAAGATCCAGTCAAAACTTCAAACCCCTCTTCACTGAAAAGCTGCAACAATCAGACACATTTTTCTATAAATCACTGAAAAAACATTTTCATTTCAGCGAGATGATTTTTTCAAGCAGCTGGAATCACGGCTGAAAACAGGGCTTTAATATGATCGCTACGTGATTGACATGTCGATAAGACCGAACCAATTTTGAACTTGCCTCATGATGATATCGTAAAAAATGCCATGCACCCAATTTAGTCTATAGGTAACGAACAAATTGACAGGGCTCGCAAATTGTTCTTGAAACGTTATTTTTTCAAACTAAAATTCAAGCTTATGCGATAGTGGTTTGTTTGCTGGTCAAATTATCGACTTCAACAGCCGACTATTTCGCACCAGATAGAACTGGAAAACTGAAATTTCTGTTTATGTAGAACAATAAAATGTACAGTACAAATTTACTCAGTACAATTTTTTCGAGGTTAAGCAGTTGCTAAGTTTGTTGAAATATTGAGCCTGGGTTGGGTAGTTTTTTAAGTAGTTGTTTATAGATAAACCTAGCTGTACCCGCACTTGCTTTGATCAAGCTGGGTTTGATGTTTTTAAAAATCTGTTTTGATGAAACTGATCATGAAACTGTTTTGATGAAAGATCATTTTTGTGGGGCTTGTAATATGTATGGAGTTTGTTGACTCGAATTAAACTTATAGTCTACATTTGACTGTTGTTATCCCTTTTTGTTCCGACCATCAGGTGTGTTTTTTTATTTCCACGCAAAATCAGGTACCACAATTAACAATCGGAATGTGGCAAGTGATTTATTATATTAAAGCCCTTTCAATAGTGATTCTAACGACATCCAAAAAACATGAAAAAAATTTTCTGTGTCGAGAAAAACTCGTTTGAAATTTTTGATTTTTGGTCTAATTTCGAGCGAACAAGGTGAGCTAGCATAGACTTACAGTAGCTTATTCAATTTGAGCCGCGACAAGGCAGTTTTACTCGAGTAAAGTTAGCGATTGCATTGGAGTTTTTTGCGCCATTTTGACTTTTTTTTATCTTTTCGATGTTTTTTGGTTTTCCAGTAATTTTTCTGCAAAAACTGTTTTCCAATTTGACTATTCCATTATGGCTGTCGAATATGCCTTAACTCGAGAAAAAATCTTCGTTTTTTTGAGACTATGGTCGGAACATTCTGTGCTACTTGCACAGTAATCGGTTATCCTTGTTTCACAATCGCGATCGTCAGTTTAATCCTGAACTGTTTTCGCCTATCGTGAAATTCTTTCAGAGCAGCTTTTATAAAGCTAGTTCACATATCTTTCACAAATTCGATGCGTTGATTCTTTGAGAATTTTTTTTTGAAACTGAGAATATGATTGTTATTCGAGTATAGTTCATAAACTTCTGTCTTGCACAAGAATGAACAAATCTACTCAACAACCCCTCTCCCTTTATGGTGTCTATTGAATATTGGTCACCCACCGAAACAAAGAGTTTATATTGTCATCTCAACAAGTCAGTATTTGCATCTAAGTTTATTTCTTGTTGAATGTAACAGCTCTTGCAAAGTAGATAGTTGTAAGGAAAACTGTTATTTTTTTAAAATCTGATTGGTCCAAAACTACATTTGCCTCGTTGAATTCTTTACTTAAGTGTGTCCTCGTGCTTGAAAAAGGAGGAAAAAAAAGTTGCTTCAAACAAAGAGCAGCTCAATGCTTTCTAAATAGTAACACTCCGCAATACAAAGTTTTAGCAATACATTAATTGTTCCGATTTTCGAAGAAACTCCGAGATGCTCATAATTGGGGTGTTTTTTATTCAGTCAAAAATCGGCGATCCAAATAATATCTCTAACAAAAACTTTTATTAACCCATCGAAGAAACCGACCCCATGAGTTCACATTTATTAGGATATTCTACCTTCGACTAGTTTAACTAATTCATGCGCGCTTTAAAGATTTTATTATGATGCTAGAAAGAAACGCGATATATTCATGCGTGGGATACTGTCAAATTGTGCTGTTGATTGTAGCTGCAAAAGGAGGGGTCGTCCAATCCCTGTCTTCATTGCCGTTTATTTTCACTACTCCACAATCGAGGAATGTGGCAATTGATTCAGCCTCCTCTTGTCCGTAAAACAGTACCTGGTGGCTTTGCCAGTGTTCGCTAAGAGCAGGAAGGTCCCCTTCAGACAGTACTGAGTTAAATTCGTTCTAGGGGGCAGATTTTTGGGACGGAGAACCGAACAAAATTCCCATGCCCGGCTTCAGCGGGCAGTTTTTAATTAATGCGGAGAACCGAGAAAAACTCCTATTGTGCCCGGTTGTGTTGGTAAGTTGAGCCATTTGCCGACTGCTACGGGGGTTGTCCCACAGGTCGTCAAGTTTAACAGAACAGATGTTCGCTTCAATGGACAGTTAACGAGGTAGTGAATGTCATGCAGCGTAGCGTTAAAGTTTGGGCAGTTGTTTTTAATGTTTTTGTCCAATCTCGACAGACAGCAATTTAATTGCATGCTATATCCACAGCAGAAGTGAGCAAGGGTATGTCGTGAATTTCTGCGAAGCCTGTTTTCTTCGGAAGCTAATTCTGGAGTTTGAGAGCCCGGTGGTTTAGAGGATGTTTGTTAACGCAGTTTTTCAACTCATTTGAATTGTTTTAAGAGCCATTCGTATTGATCTGGTGTTAGGCTATCAATTTCATCAAAATGATTTTTATTGTTGCAATAGTATTATTTGGTAAGTATAAGTTTTATAGGTCTCGACATCGAGTTGTTTTTGGTTGTGCGGTGGTCACATCGCTCTTGTTGATGGCAGCCAGTTAAAAATTGTTTGCTTAAATACTGCAAGCAAAAGAACACAATGAGAAGTTGAATTTAACAATGAAGGTTTTCAATTGGAGTCACTTTTGTGCAGCCAGTTACAATTCTAAGCGCTTGAAGGTTTTGTCGAGCTTGAAGGTTTTTCTAGCGATAATCACATACTGAAGGTGTTCAGACAGGAGCTGCGTGCTTCATAACACAACGACCAATGGCCTTATATGTAATACTTAGTTTATTTGCTGCACCCCCCGCGTGCCTGAGAGCTTTTTCAGTAAGTTATTGCGTGTTGGGAGTTTGCTTATCATTGTGGTTATGTGTTCAGTGAAAGTAAAGAGTTTATGAAAGGTGAATCCATGACGAGATTTTTTAAGGTTTTTGAAAGGTGGGTAGTGAGTTGCTTTCAATAATCACATCAGTTGAATTCTTTATTTCAGGTTATTATGAGAGTGGCTGAAGATTTGTCTGCAGACAGTTTTGAAATGAGTTTTTGAAGCCAATTGTAGCGGGTACTTAGATAGAGTTGTACCTCTAGTTCAAGTTCAGTGGTTTTCGGACCAGTGGTGGTGATAGAAATATCATCTGCATATGTTGTTACTTTGATGTTTTTGGTTGATAGAAGCGGCATTGATGACATGTAAACAAAAAGAAAATAGGCGACAGGACTCGTTTCATTCGTCGCATTTTTAACTTTTCGTTTCTTATTTCAACACAAGTTGGCCTGCCTTGCAAATGTGAAGTTATCCATCTTTCGATGTTGTTTGGAAGGGACGACATTTCAAAATCGTGCAGCAAGATACCTTGATTTAATGTTTCGAAAGCTGCAGTAAAATCTAAAGCAACTGAGAGTGTCCTGTGTCGGGGACAAGGTTGATTAAGTCCGTTTCTTAAGTTAGTGGCTATGCAGTGTTTGTTTCCCCGTGTTTTCGAAATCCTGCCAGTGATTTGCTAGTGGGATGTTGCTGAAGTCTTCCAGCAGGATTCTTTCAATCAATTTCGCTACTGGGGATAAGAGGGCTATGGGTCGGTAGCTTTTAGCTTAATCTTTGCTTTTGTCCGGTTTCAGAAAAGGAAAGAGTCGACCGAATTTCCATTTATGCGGAATGATTGAGGAGTTGAGAATGAGTAATATTACTTCTGTAAGGATTAGTGAAGATAGGGCGATGTTGTCGGGCCCTAAGGCTTCGCTTTTGTTGCTCAGTTTAATTTTGTTTATGACGACCTATGGGAAAATTATAGAGGATTCTTGCCGTATTTCTTTCAGTCTGAGGAGCGTGCTGCACTTCTCTTTATTTGAGATAAGTGGGCGATGACTGTAATGCTGATAAAAGAGAAAGGCACACTTTTTTTGAACCACCAGCTGGTTTTTGTTCAAGTTTATTGGCTGGTTTTGTCAGCTGATTCTGATTGGCCCGCTAAAGAGTTGACAGTTTTTCCATAATTTGTGGACAACTCCTCTGAGGGTGAGGGTATTACCATACTCAATCCATTTATCGCGTTTGTGACTATTCACAATGTCATCGATTTCATTGTTCAACTGGAAAAAAAATTGGTCACCAGGATTGTTTGATTGAAGTTCGTCTCTGGTCTTGAAAAGCTCTACAGCTCGTTTTGGAAAGTGTGTTCTGAATTCTTTGATGCGACCATGTGGAATGTGCCAATTGACTGCCTTTATCAAAAATTTGCGGAATGTAGCTTTCCAGTCTGCTTTACTTAAGTTAAAAGCATGCTTTTTGATGGTTCAACAAATTCGACATCACAGGTTAGTATAAGCACGATTGCCTGATGATCAGAGCCAAGTAGGACTCTGAGGTCCAGCTAAAATTCATTGCCAGGTTGGCACTTGTAAGACTTATGTCGGGTGAGCTTTGACAATTGGAGGTTACTCTAGTAGGGAAATTCTCATTTAAGACTACGTCTCTCTCTCATTTAAGGGAAATTCTCATTTAAGACTACATTTCTTTCTTTGGCAAGTGTAGTTCCTCTTGCATCCTTCTCAAGTTAAGAACCAGAGAGGGTTATGAGCATTAAAGTCACCGAGTATTATTGTCCTCAATTTGAGTAATCGATTTATGGATGCGATGTAGTCTGAAGGGCAGCTTGAGTGTGATGGGATATAAAAATTAATCAAGTTTATGTGATTTTCTCCCGATTTTTTTTAATTCTTCAGTTTTCTATGTGTGTATTGATGGTTCAAAGGTATTATAAGTTCTTGATGCTTAACTTTGATTTTGATGAGAAAAACCAACCCTCCATCTGTACTTTTTTTCGGGTTACAATTCTTAGGTATCATTGAGTAGTCTGGAGGTGCTTTACAAGTGATTTCATCGTAAAGTTTGGTTTCTTGAATGGCTACAACAGGTATGCAACAGGAATGGCTGCAGCAGGTTTTGGGCTAGTAATTTTGATATTAATAAAAACAGCAGTTCTGACAATAGTAATTGCTAGACCATTCCACAGTGTTGGGCATACACAATTCTAAAAATTAACAGACGACCAAGAAGCCGAGAAATAATCAGAAAAAAATCATATAATTATACATACAATGGTTAGAATTCTCGATATAGCAATTACCAATAAACAATACCATTGATAGTC